TAATCTGTGGTAATATTATGATACTCATCATAGCATGGAGATTCAGTGGCGGTCAAATGATTTTGTCATGGGGGGATGTAGCTGGTGGTATCCACACGTCATCTTCAAGAATCTTAATCAATTTTGGTTGTATTAGTTGTAATAATGAACTACAACTACACATGGTACATGTATAATTAATGATTGACAAAAGATTTAATTCTTACCAAATATCTATCAGCATCAGTCAATATCATGGACACTGAAATCACAGCATAATACAATAGGTAATTTGAATTAATATTCCCATTTCCCTTATAAATTAAACATTTTACATAAATTAGTTAAACAAATATTACCGGCACAACTTCATTTTCTGTAATGTTCTTAGGGATCTTACTATTTTTTTCACCCGAATCCGAGTGTTTAGTGGTTGAGTAAGTAAAATAGGTGGTAATTTTTCTTTTATTAGACATTATAAAATAAACTATAGACAATATCTATTACTATTTACAATTACAGCAGACTTGCAGACAGTATAAAGGGAGACACAGTATGACTTACGAGATCCGAGTAACGAGTACGAATTACGAAAGCCAAAACACTGTGGTCTGTGTAACAAAATATTGTGACAAATGGAATAATAATCGATGAATTGGCCGACTATAATAAGTTAATAACATAGCTATTTATACATAACGTATTAATACGTTTCGGCCGATGTGCTGGTCAAGGGAGGAGTGTGTTGTTATTAATTAATATTCACGATCACCGAGCTGGATAATTCCCGTGTATTTTGTATAAGCAACTAATTCATAAATATTAATAATAATAACAGCCTTGTTCCTAGAATGAGTCTAGAACTCTAGAATCTATATAATAATAATATATGCTCATAAGTCATAAGGTTATTTTGAGAAAAAATTAAAACAAAATGTAATACATTAACATTATAGTACAATATACATGAATGTAATCGTTATAAATATTAAAGAAAAAAAGTCATGGGGGGGATCTATCCCCCCCCCCCCGTTTGACCGCCACTGTGGAGATTACTACATTAAGTTGAAAAAAATATCAATTACCTGCATTTTTGTTATTTAGTTTTTTTATACACAAATATATCTATAACAATTAAGTATACTGTTTGTTTTAAGCGGCGGCTCTTGCGTCCCACCACAGAATAGATTAAATTTAATCTATTCTGTGGTCCCACTGTGTTGTATGCGTAGTAGCACAGTGGGCCAGTCCGTTTCCGCTGCTGTGCTATGTTTACTAAAATATTTACCTGAGTTTGTTTCTAACATTTCGTGGTAGTATTTTTATATTTTCACAATGCCAATGCTGCTTATTTTGATGTGAAATTAGCCTTGTTATTAGCTATTTCATTTGTCATACGAATATTATAATAATATTTATTTTATTTATTTACTTATAAATATCAACGATGAAAACCACGAAAACTTTACGGTGTTAATAATTAATATCGACATTGCAAATCAAAAACCGGATTTTCCCATTATTCTTAACTTACATTTGTTGTACACCTATAAATGTTTTAAAATAAATGCTCAACTATATCAATCCTTTGCTATTTGTATGTACCTATACAAGTTATATTCTAAGTATTCATGATTGCCGATTGGAATACTTATAAGTTTTTATAAGTTGTATTATCTACTGTACCTATATTTTTTTTTCTTTATTAGTAATACACAATCTGTACACAATCGGCACAATAATAGTATGAGCTGAGACACAATAAAAAACATGAAATTATGAGGTAAGAAGCCACCCACCGATGACACTTATGGTACTGTACCTATATAAATTTAAATTGTGGCCTTTACACTTTTTATTTATTTATTTCTCATAACAACAAAATACAACCAATGACTGTACCTCCCCAAAAAGCCATGGCTTGGAATAGGGGATGGTAAGTTCAAAACATTTAGACACTTATAAAAAATACAAGTTAATACTTATGTTATTTGTATAAACTTCATATCCAAAACAACATCAACTAGAGTAAATATGAAAAAAAAATGAATGAAATTCCTCTTTGCAAGTTTCTTTACTGTTTTTTTTCTATTGTAGTACCTATAGGTACTTTAGCCCGGGACTGCAATAGTCAAGATTCGCTTTCACATCACTCTCACTGAGTCACACTGGCCACACATAACTATTTATATAAACAAAAAAAAATCATTTAAAAACAATTACTTTACTTTTTTTAAAAAAAAGATCACCGACTTCCGTCACCAAAGTAAGCTCTCGCCGCTCATATATCATGTTATAGTCACATTGGTTTGTTAACATTAAAAATCTCGACTTTCATTTGTATACCTAGTCGAATTCTAGAACAGAGAAATATAACTGAGTAAGTTGAACAAACAGAACAATAGTGAATCATAAAATATATTATAATATAATATTTAAATATTATGTTCAAACCGTCTTCGTTTATTCGACCTGCGTATAGGTACCTATAATATTTTTACAATTTTTTCATGTCTCGGGATCGTATAGCAAGCATAAAATAATATAATAATAATATATAATATATTATATTATTAATAAATTGCTGGAGTTGGACCCGTCATAGTATTTATGTAGTGCATTCTAGACTAGTAATTTTTGGCAACATTACCAACTACGTCACATGCGTAGGTATCAAAAATCACCATGATTAGAAACTCTCTTATATTTTGAGTTTTGACGACAGATATATCTAATACCGACTACCAGGTGCTTACCTACTCTCCATTTTTGTTGATAATATTATAATTTTTACGGAAACATATTCCTATACATTTATGATGACGTGAGTATCAATGAAGGTTACATTTATGCGTTTATTCACAAATCACAATTCACTACGGATTTTAGAATATGGTCAGAGGATTCACCCAATCATATCACATCGATTATAGTTCGACTAAAATTTCGTGATTCTGCGTATTTGGGTACTATATTTGGCTTAAAATATTAATCATTTCTTCAAGTTATTTCGTGTATTGAGAAGTTTTAGACCATGATCTCTAACCCAGAGGGGTTTCGACAAACTTGATGTTTCATATACCATTAAAATAATTTATTAGTAATAATATTATTATTTATAATGGGTATAGGTATCTAGTATTTACATTTTACAGTATACTAAAAGTTATATTATCGACTGTCAACCGACAGAAAATTGACCCGTAAAGGTAACTTGAGCAGAACAACAGGTGCCCCAAGGTATGTCCAAGTTGAGAGGCCGCAGGAACTTAATATTACATTCAAAAAATACTGAACATTTTTTTTTATTATTTAAACTATATTTATGTTGAAAATAATTTGATTTGAAATACGAAAAAAATGTACAGTGGTGGTGTTTATTATATTGTATATTATCTAATTATATACAAAATTGGTTTTTCAAACGGGGGGCTATAGCTACTACACAAATAACTTATCATAACTTGTACGTAGTGAGTAATAACTGCTCCACAGCTATTCTAAGAATATTATTTCTAAGGCAGCCACTATCATGTAGGCTTCGCGGCTTTATAACCTATTGATGAAAATATTGTATATTCTGTACGTCATACCTCATCGTCTTCTTACAATCCTTATAATTATTATTAATTCCTAGAATGACTATTTAGGGCCGTAATAGACGATCGGATTTTTCCAGCCCGCCGCCGCCGTGTTCTTCCAAACACGTACGCCGGAGCCTGTGAACTAGGTGAACTGACAGCCTAAAAACGTCAAGGTCTGTTTACTACAATCTATAACTCAATAATATACAAAATTAGATCCTTTCGTCTGCTTGGATTGTTAATCAATATTTTTATTATAATTGCATTTTGTGTTATTTTTTATTTGAAAATTAAAAATTGTCAGAAACATATTTTATTCAAAAATGTTGTTTTGCAATCACTTAAGTTGATATAATTTGAATCTAGGTAATAGTTTTTTAAATAATGATTGTTTTTCGATAAAGGAATATAACCCTGTATATTAATATATTATATACATTTAGGTCTCAGACGTTAGTATACCATAAGACACTAAGGTAGTAGACCTAGACTAGTAGGTACAATGTCTATGTTTGTTTGTAATATTGCATATTTTTTATATTGCTAGGTTAAGATTGTTGGTCAAAAATGGGTGAACGCCATGACAATTGTTAAGTATTCGTACGCTTACAAGGAAGTACTAGGTCTTTTTACGAGTTAAAACTACGTACAAATTATCTACAACATTTTTAGTAGCCATAGTGATGAATGTCACTAACATACATTGTGAAATGGGCAGGGCGAGGGTGTTGATCACCAGATGGCACACAAAAATGCATTGTGGGGCTTCAACCCTCCCCAATATATTTACCATACGTCTATGTGCGTCTAGTTGGTAGATTTCGCGTATCTATAAGTGTTATTTCCAATTTTCTACGTATGAAATTGTCTTCCCAAAGTCATATTGTACTATTAAGTATGTGTACTGTACCCATATATATATACACGAATGTGTCTGCGAACTCGGTGATTAAATTGGTGACTGTTGATTGTCGAATGAAGAATTCGAACGTGACATTCGCACAAGTGGCACAACTAGCGCGGATGTGTGTGCAGGTCCTTACCTCAATATACACACAGCACAATTCGACCAGTTTTCCATCGCGACTTTATCGTCGTACCTCACTGTATATATCAATATATGTATATATACACTACACACACGTATATATACCTACAATTTATCAATATACACGTAATTATGTAAATACGACCTCGAAATTTGTGTGCCTTTTTGATTTCAAATTCAACGCGTATTCTAATGGAATAGACGTGGTCGCACACCCGTATAATATACGTACGTACTCTGGTGTTAATACGTTACTTACATCGTATACCGCGGTTACGTTATGCAAATATCTCGGTTGGTCCGTGCGCACGACCACTGTTATACATTGTACCGCGTCCTGTGACCTCTGTTTATATATATATATATATACCAAATCGTAACCTGCAGCCGCAGTCAGTCGCGAGCCAGGCAACCGACGACGACGACGACGACCGTGCGGCCGTGACTGTGTAGGTATATGCGTAATTTATCGTACCACGATTTTCACCGTCTGTCCTGTGCTGTCGTCCGCGGAGCCGGAAAGTGTGCAATAATATTATAATTTACAGCGCACAATATTATAATACACAATATTATACTCATAGTCCGGAGGAGGAAAGATGTCGAACCTGCGCCGCGTGACCGACGTGGTCTTCGCCGTCGCCGTCACCGCGTGGATATCCATTTCGGCGGCGGCTTCTCCGGACGTCCGGCGATACGACCCCGACTGGAACAGCCTGGACGCCAGACCGCTGCCCTCGTGGTACGACCAGGCCAAGTTCGGCGTGTTCATCCACTGGGGCGTGTACTCGGTGCCGGCGTTCGGCAGCGAATGGTTTTGGATGAACTGGAGAGGTAATGATACTGTCGGACCGACTGTCCACGCTGCGTGCAGGGTGATTCACCAACGAGCATATGTCGAACCCCATTTTTTTTCTTTTAATACACATTCATTTGAATTCTGATTTTTGAAACCGTCTAAGTATGAGCACCATAATGTTTTCAAGTGTTTAAATACAAATTCATTTTTTTTATGATAATAGCCTAACCTAACCTAACCTAACCTTTTATTACTCTTGATTGGCAAGCAGCGATGGTTTCATTGAAAAGTTGTATGTATCTAAATCAAAATTCTAACGAGTAGAACCTGAGTTATTAAAATTCATAAAACAGTACAAAGGATAATATAATAGTCCTCGAAAAAATATATATATACATATATCTGTAATATTAGATCTACTGGTCTATTTATTTATTTGTATTCATTCTTCAAGAAGGTAATGGGTGTATATAATATATTAATATATTATACTTCGACAGTTTTAACAAACTGTTATAAAATGTTATCATGGACCTATTATCCTTAGCACACAAAGCCAGATAACTCTGCCAAACTACTTTTTGAAATTTCGATTAAGATACACTTACAAGGCAACATTAATAAAAAATATCATCTGATTAACAATTTATAATTCAAATATGTGATTCTCGTTTGCAAAAAGTAGTTGGTACCATTCACCACAAGATACTCCTTATAAGGTATAAAACTTAAAGTAGGTATTTGTTAATATGATCTTTAATGTACTTGAAAAATTAAAAATCAGAACTTGAACCAATTCATAACGAATGGACAAAATAGGGGTGAGCTTGTTGAATCACCCGTATATGACGCATTACCCTACTACTATGCATATTATTACCTACTAGTATTTGTTGTGGCGAATTATTAGTCAAAAACGAAAAATTAATCTTGTCATTTTTTGCCGTGTACCTTTATTACTTTTTTGAAAAATTTATCCTCTTTCGTAATTAAAAATAATTTTTCAAGAAATTGTACTCACGACTCATGAGTTCTAAATAATAATTAAATACTAACATACAAATTAATAATATACTAATGATTAATGAATTTGGTTTTTTATTTTATTAATATATATGTACCGTAATTATTACTATATAGACAATAGTCTCATTACAATGGTTCGATTTCTTCAGAATTAAACTGACACAGTAACACGAATATTATCACCTGTTACAATATTTCATAGTTATCTAGGTTTGGTTTTGACATAATTTCAAATGTATTTTCACAGAGATAAGTAGGTATAATAGGGAAAAGTAGAAGTATTTTTAACTTTTATGACATTTAATAGTTTATAATTTGTATTTATGGATATTCTTACTGAAAACGGGCAATAGTTATTCCAAGTCTTAAGTCTAGGGTATGACCTATATTACGTACTATCAATTCTAATAAGTAATAAATAGATAATCAATGACGGTTTTACGTCATTATAATATTATCAAGATAATTATATTCTGAATTACTTCAATTTTTTTCTTTTGTCTACCACGGTGATTTGCGTGTGTACATGTTAGTAGCAAGTACGTACTATTATTGGTTATAAGTAGGTTCCTACTAACAGTACCATATTGCTTTTGTGTGCTTTAAATTAACGTTTGTCCGTGTAATTATTATAAACGTCTATAAACGTCTACGAACGATTGTCCATATCCAATGTCCATTGTATGTTTAACAAGATAAAAGTACACAGCACTAAATATTTCTTTAGTGTATTGTGTATAGTTGTGTCTTGTTAATAATACAATAGGTAGACATTCGTAGACATTTATAATAATTACACAACAGGCGCTTTAATAATATTTAAGCATATGTATAAAAACGATTTACTAACATTTTAAACGTAGGTAGGTACTCATACATATAAACGGATTAAAGGTTAATATTGTTATACAAAAACAATATTGTTACATGGAAATCTTGTGAGGTGGGTTAACGCATAAACGACAATAAACGGTGCGTTACCTCCCACCACACTTGCCATGACAATCATTGAATATTTTAATCGTGTAATTATAAATGATGATTTTTCATACTTACTCTACGTACCTATACAGGTAGGAAAGGCGCAAACTATGTAAATTTCATGACAAAAAATTACAAGCCAGGTTTCACGTACCAAGAATTTGGTCCCCAGTTGACCGCGGAGTTCTTCGACCCCATGCAATGGGCCAGTATCATCAAGGACTCCGGTGCAAAGTAACTACCACCTACCTATACTTTAATATTATGTATTTATTGACGTTAAAATTTTATTTCTTACAAACTGTACCTATAAGTCGCTTGAAATTTTTATGACGAAATTGATGGATATTACACATCAGCAAACTTAAAGTGTGTCCGCAATTCTTTGTCACCAAAAAATTGAAAAACTTTGTAATTTACAGCAATGCTTATACAATTAGGGTGTTCGTGTTGGTGTAAATGGGAAAACACGGTGGAAAGCCTATCCAGCTTGTATATATTTTCTATAATAATAGCTAATTTACGTACCTATGTCTAAAATATTAATATTATATGCTCATCAATCATCATCTTTCGTTACATTAACGAATCTATTATAAAATGTATAGATACGTAGTTTTGACCACTAAACACCACGAAGGTTACACGTTGTGGCCGTCGAAAAAATCATTCGGATGGAACTCTGTAGACGTCGGACCCCACAGAGATCTTGTAGGTGTGTATACAATTATGGAGTTGACATTTTTATCGCGTGTGACGATGTATTATAATATTATTGTGTTTTTGATTCTTGAAGGTGACCTAAGCAGAGCCATAAGGAGTTTAAACAAAACTCGGTTTGGGGTATACCATTCGCTATACGAATGGTTTAACCCGCTTTGGTTACAAGATAAACAGTCGAATTTGACCACTCGCACATTTGTGACTGAGAAAGTCCTCCCGGAACTCTACGAATTGGTAAAAATATTGATGATTATAGTGTGTGTACAGAATACACATAATGTATACTTATACGAGTAACCTGTCCAATAAAAATAATAACAAACAGTCTTTATAGTTTATTTACTTGTTACTATATCATAAATAGTATAGTGTTTATTATATATTTGTTGTCGTTGCAATACAATAATATCGCGTCTCGTAATATAATATATATTTATTATGTAGGTGAATCATTATAAACCAGAAATCATATGGTCGGATGGTGAATGGGAAGCTCCGGACACCTACTGGGATTCGTTGAACTTCCTTGCTTGGCTCTACAATGACAGCCCTGTCAAAGATACGATTGTGGTGAATGACCGATGGGGTGGTGATACACTGTGCAAGCACGGTGGATTTTTGACCTGTGCGGATAGATATCAACCAGGTATCGTATAATATTATAGATTTGAGCGTAAAATCTATAGATTTAATAAATTATCCAATGTAGGTACGCGTAGGTATTATAGGTAGAATAACATGTATTATACTGGTTGATTCATTTATCGAATTTTCTTTAATTATTTCAAAATCTATTGAAGATAGCTGGTAAGTACTTACAATATTGTTGAAAACGCATAATAATAATATTATTATTTATTTCTATAATTTATCAAGTTATTTAATGTCGTGTTGTGGTGTCGTGGTGACAACATATTCCAAAGCAGAATATTATTTGGACTTCGGAGTATTTGAATGCATGAAAATCAAATGTCGGACGACTACTATTATAGTTATAATCAGTTATAAGACGTGTTTATATGATCGGAGCCACTCCACTTCAAAACTCAAATCAAAACTTTTAAAACTTATAACTCATATTATACAACACATCCAAAGTTTGATTTTTGCATTGAAAAATATTCTGCTCTGAAATGGAAATTAAAAATTTATGTATTACCGTTCAAAAAAATTAAAAAATTAAAAATAATATAAGATTAAAAATTGCAAAAAACATTATTTTTTCCGAAATTTTGTTTTGCAATCACTTTTAAGTTTTTACCTAAAAAAATAATTAAAATTAAAATTGTTCATATAAGGTAATGGTTTTTTAAATAATTATTGTATTTGATAAATGATTAACGCAGTATTAATATATTATGAGCTTAGGTCTCAGACCTTAATATACTATAAGTAGTCTATAAGTCACTAAGATAATAGATTTGTAGGTAAAATATGTCGGCTGCATACGAACTGAGTCCCAGTATAACCTTTTATGACGAATTGAGTCCCGCGTTGTTTTAGGGTATAAACCAATTGAGTCCAGTGAAATTGTAGGTATAATACTAATTGAGTCCATGTTTTAATACTAACTGAGTCGCGTTAAAATATTATAATATAAAATAATTATTATATTAATATTTTAATTAATATATAACCAATATATATTTTTTCGTTTGATACAATATATATTGATGGGACTTTTAAAAGCTGCCCAATACAGTTTACTCAACTGTTAACTATCCACGGAATGAAAATAATAACTACATACCATTGGTATTTTGTTTACTTTTGGACAAAGTTTCAATAATACAATATGTATACATAGGTGTATCCGTGTGGAGCGGCTTTTGACGCGCGGCATAATTTTCGCTGTGTCTGGATGGTCATTTTATATTTTACTCAAAATAATCCTTGGACTCAATTCGTATACAATTAGTTTCCTAACCCCAGATTCAATTAGTATATGTCTCGTTTGTACCCGGGACTCAATTAGTATATTAATTTTTTCCCGTTCAGGTACAGGTACTCAATTAGTACACAGCGAATATGTCTATGATGGTTCTATACATATTATTTATATTGCAGGAAAGGTTGTTGGTCGAAAATGGGAAAACGCTATGACAATTGATAAGTATTCGTGGGGTTACAGAAGGAATGCTCGAGCTTTAGACGTGTACTCGATACATAGTTTAATCGCCCAACTAGTCGAAACTGTAAGCTTTGGAGGTAAATTATATACTCAAAATCTATAACTATAGTTTTTATATTTAATAAATTCACATATATATTATATATAATATATATTAACAAATATAGTAATAATCAATGAAATATTATGTTTAAAAAAAAAAACAACATGAATTTACAGGTAATTTGTTACTAAACATTAGTCCTACCAGTGATGGCATGATTCCTCCGTTACACGAAGAGCGTTTGCTACAAATCGGCCAATGGTTGTCGGTAAATGGCGAGTCAATATTTGGTAGCAATCCGTGGTCGACTTGTCAAAACGATACACAACAACCGCACTTGTGGTAAGACCGTGACAACAATATTTGAAATGATCATATTATATTTATCATATATATATACATGGTTTTAAGGTACACGCGAGGAGCAAATTCTTCGACTATTTATTCGATTGTTTTGCAATGGCCCGATGGTAATTTACTCAACTCTGCGTGTCTGGGAAAATTAGACATCGACTCTATCGTTATGTTGGACACACAAAGTAAACTCAAGGTAATTTACCAAATTAATAAAAAAAAAAGTAACTTTTCTCCTTCGTACATGCCTATAATGTCATATTTAGCGTATTGATAGTATACTAAATTTCATTACGATATTTTTATCAAGTTAACTGAACCATTTTTAATTTTTATAGTGGACTCAAAAGACGGAAGGCGGTTTGATGATTAAACTAGAAGATAAATCTAAAACCAAAACAGAGTGGGGCTGGGCTCTACGAGTTACATTGAATCCTTAAGTGTTTTTCCGAGAACTGTATCCTTTCAGTTGTACTAATAATATTTCATACGAAACAATTGTGCCAAACATCTAAAACAAAAATGTATATATTAATTATTAACACTGAAATGAACGAGTACAATTATTGATAAACGAATTACTAAATTAGGTATACCATACTCACAGTTAATAAGAACCTTCTGGTCATTAAAAACATGTGGCTTCCGGTTAGTCCAATATGATCTTTTTGTATTTGTAACAAAAAAAATTCCACCTAATCAAATTTCATTATAGATACAATAAATTGCCCATTTAGCCACTGTATATGTCTACGTTTTTACAACTAAAGAATCATTATAAACTGAACTCGCCTCATTACAAAATGATTGCTGCGGTATATCATAAAGCGATCTTTTTGGCAATTTGCTGCTCTCGTATATTTTCACGGAGCATAAACATAATAAACATCCTCGCAATGAAGAAACCAAAAACGAAAGTATTGCATGGACGCGGTGACTTAAACTGTAATTTTCATTTGTTGGTCTGAATAAGAATAAAATTATTTCTATGTAAATTATTACTACACTATACACGAAATCAAATTAATAAGTTAAATAGTTAAAAAATATGTTTTTTTTTTGATTTGTCTAGACGTATATTTAATTAGATATTTTCTTCAAACTATGTTATTTGGGTTGGTATTATTATTATTATTTTTTTTAATGATATCGGGAACCTATTAAATGAGGTAGGTATAGGTGTTTGGTCAGTTTGATTTCAGTTTTTTTTTTAAACATATAATATTATAGATAATAATGTAATAATGATAATTTAATTAAATTTAGAAATAAGAATGTGCGAAGATCAAAGACTCGTTGTAATTTATAGTATTTGTATTTTTGAATATGAATTCAATTGTTTCCTATTTGAACTTTTTTGTTTAAAACCCATGATAAATATATTGATTTTTAATAAATATACCTTTTTTATAAATACAAAATAGTTATAGAATTAATTTTATTACGCGATTGTAAATGTATGATAAATTGTAATATTTAGTGAATCAAGAATATGTACCTATAATATAAATGTAATCAGTAATCACTAATCAGACATTTAAACTATATCAGAACATCAGATTAAGATAAACTTTTAAACAGTTTTGAGTGAAATATATCAGAATTTTGAATGAATATTAAAAATATACCTGCAGCCACCGGTGATTGTTAGAATTATAGTAAATTCGACTTTCATAGTAATTATCAGTTATTGCTTATAAATGTTCGTTTGTATGGACGTGTAAATTCTTATTCATATTAATTCACAATGAGTGTTTGAATTTTGAGTCTCATATTGATAATTGACTACTTGACACTTGCTATCGGCGTTGGGGGCATGGATCTCCGGAATTGAAAGGGGCAGGAGTCGGGACGCGTTCGACACATCATGACACAGTATTGTATAATAATCTTAGCTTATTGTCACATCTTATCTATTCGCATTTCTTACAGGAACGTGCTGACGGTCTGTTGTAATTAAATTGTGCTACGATTGTGTAACTATTTTTTAACGCGTATAATTAGACATACGAAAAGTTTTTTACGACAAATTTAACACTAGAAGTGCAAAATGAGAAACAACAGTGACTATATGTGTTCTGAAAAATATAATAAATATGTTGAAGACGTTCTCAAATTTAAGGGAAAAGAGAGTAGACAATGAGCCACGTGTAAGTTATTGAAACGATATGATGTCGTTAAAAAAATGTCTCTCCATGGAGCTCCACCAACTTATTGTTCCATTTAAACCTGGTGAAAGAAAAATGATAAATACTTCTAGAAAAATGAAGGTTTATTCTTATTCGATATTTTCCATAATGCTCATACAAAAACAAGCCATAGAGGACCAACTAGATGAGAGGGCTGGTGAAACGCATCCGAATATTTAAACCCGTTTTTGAATTCCTTGTCGCGTGATTAAATCGATCTGCTGCAGTGTATACGTTAAAATGAAAGCAGTCCGTTTAGAACCCCCTTAAGCCTATAAACCTTTATAAGCACTAAATATTATGTATTAACTTAACACTACACGGAAAACATCCTTACACGACGCCCTGGTGCAATTCTACGCATATGATGTACAGGTGTAATATCAAAGACACGCACAGCAAATGGCATAAGTAGTCGTTCAGTAGTCTGGCCAAATTGCACAGCCGCGTGTAGTCCACTCTCAAGGTCTTCCATTGATCCGACGTCAATTTCTATATATTAGTGAAAACGATACAATTAGCGCACTTGTATTATGGTACGGTATCATATTACAGTGGCGTGCCAAAGAAGATTTTTTTGAGGCAGTCACGGGTTATCTCAAGACTAAAATTAGTCACGTTTTTATACGGGTGTATGATAAAACGTTAAAAATACAAAACACACCTAGGTATGTATAATATATAATATAATGAAATACAACAATATTTTGTTTTTTCGCTACGCACGTACACCAATCATTTATAGGACACAAAAATCCATATTTGGGGTAGGTATGTGGTTGACGGTCATTCATTTTGTGTTTCGCCCCAAATTTAAAAATTGTTCTCCACTGCAGTAAGCACCTACAGTGGCGTACTTACACCTGAACTTTGGGGGAGGGTTTTAATTTTTTAAATTAACATATTAGATGACGTGACACTTGACCCTAACAAAACATAATATGGTACATTTTAATAGATTACTAATTTTTATTCATGATATTATTTGTAATTGACATGTGATAATTAATAAATATGTAATTACTACTTGACCATATGTGTAAAAAGAAAAAAATGTTAAATTATATAATAATAATAATAATAATTTAGATACTTATATTTTTTAGAACGTTAATTTTCTATTTTTTCTGAAAAAATATCGACCACTTCATTACTCTTTATTGGTATTTCTCTTTGAATACTTAGATGAGCCAATCCATTTAGACGATTTCTCTATTCTCTATATCAAGCTTAGGTTTTTTTACCATCCACTTATCCATTGTTAAATATTAATATACCTAAGGGGATTCGATACCGACCATTTTTTAGACTAAAACATCCAATCTTTTGTCCATCAGTCCGATGGACCTAATAATGCGATAAGACTTTTAAAAACTGATTTGAATTCGTTATTATGTCTTCTTGAGATCGGCCTAGCCACTTTTTTGAATTTACAATTTTAATTCAGAGTAATCAAAACTTACATTTTTTTAAGTTTCACAATTTCTAAATCCATATTATAAAGATTAGNTTAAAATTGTAAATTCAAAAAAGTGGCTAGGCCGATCTCAAGAAGACATAATAACGAATTCAAATCAGTTTTTAAAAGTCTTATCGCATTATTAGGTCCATCGGACTGATGGACAAAAAATTGGATGTTTTAGTCTAAAAAAATGGTCGGTATCGAATCCCCTTAAACTTTTTAATAAAATATACAATAGCTCGTATGCAATTGTAGTTTTGTTTGTCACTATAAGCTTGATATAGTTCAAGGGTTGTTAAAATAACATGTAGGTCAGTACCTACATCGGTAATACACGAAAACGACGTTAACGATTGTCGATTATAGATTGAAGTGGCTAACACACTAGGTGATTAATCGCACAAAATAAAATACGTTTTACGACGACGATAGAGGACTGTCATAATAATTACACCGATCGTCCACGTCCATATCTACAATAACTTCGTGGAAATACTCATATTCCCGTAGGTACCCACATTAGATAATGTAAGCCGTACTATTTAATAATATTTATAATCATAATTCAGAATGACATAGAACAATATTACAAAGGTATTTTAAAATGTACACTGTTTATTTCATTATAATGGATAATTTGTTATACCCGAGTACAATACAATTAATACACAGGTACTAGAAATTTTAGGTTTCTCATAATAAATTAAATTATCCATTAATTTCGGGGAGGGGAGTTATACCCCCCACCACCACCCGTTAGTACGCCACTGAGTACCTATATCGTATTTAAAACAGTTGCTAACACTTGGAGACGGTCGTTGACATATAATGACATGCGTACCTACCACATACCTATATATTATATGTATTATTTATATTCTATATATTTTATATATATGACATGTGTTTATTGTATATAGCAGGGATGGCAAACCCTTTGAAAACTGCGTGCCTAAAATTAGTAATAACATTTTTTTTTTTTTAGAGCGTGCCATGAAAAAAATATTAAAAATATTATATTTGGTTATATTATAATTTGATTGTATAATTAATGTATTAGTATAAAAAGGTTAGTTTAGGTTATTATAGATCCTATAATATTTACCGTTAGTGCCTCTGACGTTTCACATGACACAGGCATTAACGGGCCACGGATGCTTTCAATGGTACCTGAACCGGATGGCGAGGGCTGACAGCCCACACTGCTACCAGTGTTTGGATAACTCCGACACCGCAGAGCACACATTGTTTGAGTGCTCCTACTGGGACCGATTCCGCGACCAGCTGAGCGCCCAGTTAGGTCGTCGACCGACCGCGGCTGATCTTCCTCGGATTATTTGCGGCCCAGAGTTTGAAATACTCCCGGCGGATCTCACTGAGAAGTCCGCGATACTAAGAGACGCCGAGGAACAATTCAGGCTGTTTTACGGTATGGTGGAAGGCATTCTGTCCGCGAAAGAAGAGGAGGAAAGAGCCCGGCAGACCGTCATAGCCCGAGACGCGACGGCGGAAGATGAGACCTAGACTATCTTTAATAATACAAAATGGAAGCATAATGTGATAGTAGTGAGTGGGAGACTGGCCCACCTCTGCTAATAAGGTCTTTGTATTGATTATTCAATAAACGATGGGGGCCGGAGGAGAAGTATTGGCAACATAGTTCCTTCTCCGGTCCTCGATACCATAGAAAAAAAAA